TTTTTAAAAAACGAGGAAAGTCCTACATTTTGTGAGGAGACTTCCTCGAAATCCAAGGAGTTTTTCTCAAATCAATGAAGTTCCTCAAAGTTTTCCCTTAAAAATGAGACATGGTGTTTTTTACTGTGGAACCAACAAGGGAGAGAGTAAAGAGAAAGAGTATGTGGTGCGACAAAATAATCAAGGTGGCCGTAGCGTCGCGGCGTTGACGGCGCGCGTTTGGCGTGGCACTCCAACACGCCCACTCGGCTCGCGCCGCCGGTGTCGTGGCTGCGCTCGGAAGGTCGTACGCGCCGGACTCAGGGCTGATCCGCGGCCCACTCGTCGGCGTGGAGATCTCGGAGAGGAGAGTATTGAAAATTGGACGCCTCGTTAGGGCTTATTTTTCCGCGCCGCGTGGTTTTTGGAGGAGAAAACCGACTGGTGGAAACGCTCACCCGAAAGTCTGAGTTCTTGGACCAAAGCTCATTGTACTCGATCCCTCAAAAAATGAGACATTGTTTTTGACTCGCTTCATTGTGTCTAACTTGCAAATAGCAATTGAATAGAAGCCCCTCCTCGCCCTCTTTTCGCTGCTTCATCCGCGATGCAGATCGCACGGCCGCCGCCGCTCCTCCGGCTGCGCGGGGTCGTTGGACCGAGAGCTGCACCGCCGCCACGCCACTCGAGCCAAACGAGAGTCAAACATTGAAACTCTCCCTCCCATCACCCCGGCTTCTCCCCGTTATAGATTTTAATTCCAAGCCTGAAGAAAAATATTAATATACTGCGCCATGTTGGCGTCGGGGGCCCCGTGGGTATGTGCGGAGTAGGCCAGCACGCCAAGCTTCTCGCCGTGGCGGGCGGACTTACCCTGCCGGCCTGCAGGCGTCCGGTGTGACTTCTGCACCGGAAAGGCAAGTGGATGAATGCTGTACCGTCAAATGGTCTAATATGGACCATGCGAGGTAATTTGGACCACCTTCTTTTAGGTGCTCTTTGAGAGACGGTTCTCACACGAGTTTCCGCTGTGAGCTGCCCGAACTTCCGCCCTCTAATCGGTGATTTTTCACCCTGAAGCCCCCTTTCCTCTATTTAGAAAAGAATGCATGCGCGAGGATGGCACGGGAACGCCTGCCATGTGTGGGGTAGGCCAGCCCGCGACGCTCCCCGCCGAGGCGGGTGGCCTACCCTACCGCCCCGCAGGCGCTCGACGCGGCTTGAAACAGCCCGTTAACGCCACATCGACGTTGCAATAACGTCCTTTCCGCGCTGCCTAAATTTTTCAAAATGGACAGCGCCTCGCCCACCGCGCTGCGCCGGCCACCGTCGGCTGCTGCCGTATGCATCGTACGGACGTGACGAATGGAGGCCGGATGTGTTTCCGGGTCCTTTCTTGACGCGATCGCCCTACTTGGACTCTCAGGGCGGGTGCTGCCGTCTCTCTCTCTCTCTCTCTCTCTCTCTCTCTCTCTCTCTCTCTCGCTCTCTCTCTCTCGCTCGCTCGGTCCCTCGCTCTGTCCCTCACACATAACAACAAAAACACGCCGCGCGCCACCGACGCACACAAACACAGCCTCACATTTGAAATGTCGTGTCCGAATTTAGTCCTTCCGACTAGAGCAGCAGCAGCGGCAGCGCCTGCTCTGCGTCCTTCTACCATACATCCCTGGACCGCTGCTGTCGGCTGCCCCGGCGCAGCTGTCCGGCGGCCCCGCGACTCTGCAATATGAGAAGTGTGTTGTGCTTGTGAGCGTGTGTTGTGCACGTGTTTGTGTGCGTGTGGTGTGTGTTTGTGGTCGTATTAAGTATCATCGGCGCCCCGACACCTAGTCGCGGGCGCCCTATAAGAGGGACCTTATTACGGGCAGCAGACAATCGTACTCCGAAGGGGTCCCCAACTCGCCTAACGGGCGCCGCTGACTTCTATGCGATCTGTTGACCGGGTCGGTCGTGCGGACATGTCGTGGGACTTCTGGTTTTGTTTTTCTTTCTCTCTACTCTTTCCGTTCTTGAGAAAGCACGAGGTGGTGCGTCCGGAAATGCTCCTCCCACCCTCTCCCTACGGTCCGGAGGCGTTGAGCTATGACCCCTCCAAAGTGGCGCCGCGAGAAGTTTCTCTCCACCCCCCTCCCTTCCCGCCTTCCCGTCCTTCTTATCCCCAATCTCCCGGGTGGAACCATAGGTAAAGGCGCATATTCATGCGAGTAGAAGTAGTAGCTTCACGGTAACCGTTCTTTAATTTTTTCGGGGATTTTAGTTTTATGGTGTTGAAAAACTTATCGCGTTTTTACGAAATTTTCTCGGTTAATTTTCT